GTTTACCGTCTAATATATGTTCACTTCGGCTCTTCCATTTTCCACCAGATAGCGCCTTATCGCACACACAATCTGATATATCGTTTTTCGGATCTCTAACCTTGTCAGCGAGTGGTTTTCCTTACATTTGCAGTACTGTGCTCACCACTTTCTGGTTCTCGAAACTGCTTTTTCTTATATTATAAGAAGATGCCATGCTCTTTTGCCAACAAAATTCATCTATTCACGACGACGAAAGCGAATTGAATGCTTCGTTACACTTCATGCAAACTTTCAAGCGAATGTAATTTCATTTTCTAATAATTTCATGCCTCATTGCTATGAATATCTAATGATGTGTGAGTAGCAATTTCAAATCCTCGTTTATAGTGTTTTAAACTTGGCTTCCAAATCCCCAGTGTCATGAACAATGGCTCGGCTGCGCCTCGCCATGGTTCATGGTACTTGTATAATAGAAGTATTGTATTGTATAATAGAAGCAATTAGCGATAAAGTAGAGAATCTTGCAACCGAAGTGAGACAAATAAAGGCCATTAACTCGCAATCAAACAATCAAGATTTAATTAATGACTTAAGAGAAGAAAATCGAAAGCTTAAGTCGCAAAATGAACAGCTACAAGAAAGAAATACAGATAGTATATCGTGTACCATGACAGATCTCCATATGAAAATTAAAGACTTGGTAAATGAAAGAGATTGTCTAGTTACAACACTCAAGCTTTTACACCTTGACCGAAAAGATAGTGAAAAGCAACCCGAAACCTCTGGATGGCGTAAGGTAAAATCAAATGGCCCAGCTAAGACATCAGACAATTATTCGCCTGTTATAACATCCAATCGATATGAAATTCTCGAGGAAGAATCGAAAAACGAGAGTTACGTTATTAACGATGATCCAGTAATTCCTACTGAAGATGTAGATTTGCAAACGAAAAGATACAACCACGGAAAGACAATTAGATCAGACAAAGCGAAAAGTAAGCCAAAAGATAACGCTAACGGAAATACAGAGAAGTCTGTCAAAACGGTATATATTGTTAGTGATTCTATGATTAAACATTTGGATTGTCATAGACTAAAGCGTTCCGTTCAGAACGGAAACAAGCGAGTGCATGCCGAGACGTATCGAGGAGACACAACGGATGCAATGCAATACCATATTAAGCCATGTCTCCAAAGAAAACCTGACGAAATCATTCTACACGTTGGGACAAACGATCTCAAAGAGAAAAATCCAAATGAAGTGGCAAAGGGCGTCTTAAAGGTATGTAATATCATAAAGAAAGAGAATCCACAAACTAAAGTTGTGATTTCAGAGTTGATAATAAGAACTGATCGAGTTGACGAAGTAAACAAACAACTTTTTACTTATTGCAACCAGAATAACTGGAATTACATTAGGCATAAACATATTGGAGTTAATCATTTAAACACATATGGTCTTCATCTTAACAGGCTAGGAACAGCAACCTTATCAAGGAACATTCTATTATATTTGAACAGTGATAGGAAACATAATTGAAATTATATCGCTCCTGAGAATTTGAACAATATAAGTAAGATAAGTGAAAGTGGTAGATATGCTGATTTGGGATCATCTAAACAAACAATTGAAGTAGAAAAAATTGCTAACACTACAACTAGATATAGTATGAAAGGCTTCAAGATATCTCATTTAAATATCAGAAGCTTAGTTAAAAATATAGATCAGTTTAGGATATATAGTCATAACTGCAAGTTTCAAGTTTGATATAATATGTTTAAGTGAAACAATGCTAGACGGTACAATCCAAGATTATGAAGTAAATATATGTTAATGGTACGAAGTTATTCGTAAAGATAGAAATCGTAATAGCTGGGGTGTTGCGATTTATATTAGAAATTGTATAAGCTATAAATTACGGACAGACTTAGATCACGCAAATTTGGAATCAATCACAGTTGAAATTTTCAAGCCAAAAGCGAAGTCGTTTTTAATCAATACATGGTATAGACCACCGGGTACAAGTCTTGATTTGTTTAGTGATTACGAGGAGTGTATTACAAAAATGGATTATGAAAATAAGGAAGTTATCACAATTGGAGATTTCAACTGTGATTGGAACAATCTCGGAGAACGTACGATTTCACCTCAGACAAAAAGAATCGTTGATCTTGCTCAAACATTTCAATACGAACAATTACAATACGAACAATATAAATATTAAATATTATTATTATTATTATTATTATTATTATTATTATTATTATTATTATTATTATTATTAATTAAAGAATCAACGAGAATAACCGAAACTTCTAGTACGTTAATAGACTTGGCATTCAGTAACAAGCCAGAACTGATTATTGACTCGGGCGTGGAACACATAGGAATAAGTGACCATAGCATGATCTACGGTATGTCTGCCGAAAACTTTCTATTCCCCGAACAGAGCCAAAAATTGTCAACACAAGACAGTATAAATATTTCGAAATTAATGCTTTTAGATCAGATTTAAATGAAATTTTCCAAATACAATCAAACCTTACAAACCCAAACATTCTTTGGGAGGAGTGGAAATCAAAATTTTTTGCGGTTGCTGATCTACATGCGCCACCAATTACACGGAAAGTTAGAAGTGAGTTAGCCTCCTGCGCAGACGTTGTTAGTGGCCGAGGCCCCACTAACAACGTCTGCGCAGGAGGCTAGAAGTGAGTATGCTCCTTGGATTACAGAAAATATTAAGAAAAGTATGCAAAATAGAGATTATCTTAAAAAAAGGCCGTTAAATCGGGCTCAAGGAATGTGCACGAAGCGTATAAAAGAGCAAGAAATGAAGTAAACAAGCTCGTTAAAAACACGAAAACTAAATACTTTATGAATGCCCTAAGTGAAAATAATCAAAATCCTAAAACAATGTGGAACACAATTAGGACATTGACAAACAAAAATTATAAAACAACTAACATCACTGAGATCCACGTTGAGAATGACAACTCTGTTACCGAGCCTAAACAGATTGCTGATGCCTTTAATACATTTTTCATTAATATTGGTACTCAACTGGCTGATGCTTTACCTGTAACCAACATTAACACCAGAATCATTTATCACGCCTGCGAATTCCTCTTTTGAAATTCATACCATTTCAATTAAAAAGTATTTAATTTACTTTCCGCTATAAAGGTTTCTAAGGCAACAGGACACGATAAAATCTCACCAAAATTGCTGAAAGACTCTGCAGATATCATAGGGCCATCTTTGGTTAATATCTTTAACCAATCTATTAAAACTGGTATCTTTCCTGATGATATGAAAACTGCAGTGATTTCACCTATTTTCAAGTCGGGAAACAAGACAGAGTGTACTAACTATAGACCAATTTCAATACTCTCGGCAATTTCCAAAATCTTTGAGAAACTCATTTCATTGCAAATTGTCTGAATATCTGGAATCCAATGAGATACTCACAGGTGAACAATCAGGTTTCCGAAAGAATCACTCAACACAATCATTGCTCCTTCAAGCTACCAACAAATGGTTGATCAATATGGACAATGGGTGCTTGAATGGTGTAATATTTTTGGACCTGAAGAAAGCCTTTGATTGTGTTGATCACGATATACTGCTTAGGAAACTATATCTCTATGGGTCTAGCCCAATTACCTTAAAATGGTTTAAGTCATATCTGTCCAATAGAACACAAATATGTAAAATTGAGCGTACTATGTCAAGAGAACATACTATAAGATGCGGAGTGCCTCAGGGATCAAACCTAGAACCGTTGTTATTTCTAGTATACATAAATGATCTCCCGAGGTGTCTCTCGCACTCGTCTACTAGTATGTTCGCTGACGACACAAACTTAACGACAAATGGTGGTAGAAGTGATGAAGTCATAACTAAATTAAATGTAGACTTAAAAGAGTTCATCAATGGTTGCTGGCCAACAGGTTAACACTTAATAAAGAAAAAAACGAATACATGATAATAGGGTCTAGACAGAGATTAGCCAAAATTGAAAACGAACAAGAATTAAAACTTGGGGAAACAAATATTAATAGGGTAAAATGTACAAAAACCCTAGGTGTAATTGTCGATGAACAATTAACGGGGAAAAACCAGATCGAAAGCATAGTTAACAAGGCTTCAAAAGGTATCGGAATGATACGTCGTATTAAGAAATATGTTCCGGCAACAGTTTTAGAAAACGTTTATAAGGCTATAGTACTGCCTTATTTTGACTATTGAAGTTTAGTTTGGGAAAACTGTAGCGTCTACCTCCAAGATAAATTACAGAAAATGCAAAATAGAGCAGCTAGAGTAATTACGGGGAAACCGTGACGATACAAGAATAAGTGATATGCTGAATGAACTTGGTTGGCGGCAACCATTAGCTGAACGAAGGAGATCTCAGAAAATAGTATTTATGCATAAAGTTAAGAATAAGCAATTCCCAAAAAGCATATCTAGCATGTTCCATATTAATAGAAACGACAACTACAACCTGCGCAATAATAATGTCAATTATGCACTTCCAAAACCTAAAACAGATTTCATGAAAAAGCATAAATTATTCAGCCGTAAGTCTATGGAATAGCCTCCCAAAAGCCGCTAAAGTAAACGACGTTTCTATTTGGCAATTAAAACAATTCTCTCGAGCTGATTATAATTACGAATAGACGAAATGTGCGAACAGTAAATAGAATCTAATTATGTCATTTGTTTGTAAATAGCTCCTGTATTTTGTTAGGTTAGTTCTTTAATGTCTTTTTATATATTTTTATTGTATTACTGTAAACGGCCCCTTGGAAATTGATGTTAGTAGATCTGAAGGGTTACCGTTTCCAAATAAGATTAAATAAATAAAATAAATCTTGAATTCCGCGCAATGACTTGGGTCTCAGTTATGATGTCATAGTATCTATCATGAATGATGATTTAAAGCTTTAATAATAATCCACCTTAAGTTCATGTGGACTTACAAATTCATAAACATTATAAAACCATCTATATTACAATAAAAATTTATAATTTTAAAAAGGTTCAGTTGCCGAAGGCACAGACGACGAGTATGTCCTTCAGTTCAGAGAATAATGCAATCTACATTCAGCCTAAAATTACAGAACCGTCTATTACAGTAGTAATTTAAAGTTTACTATTAAAAAGTTTAATTGCACGAGGCATAAACGATGATTTATGTCTTTCGGTTCTGGAAATAATGCGACCTACATTAGAACCTCTTTCTTTTGTTCTGGTGGAATAGTCATGCTTCTGTGCGATAGGGACAAGGTGGTGACAAGGATTGTTTACGTCCTGAGTAATTGCCTCGATTTCTCGATATTTTTTTTCATTTCTCCATTTCTTTCTTTTTTTTTTTGTGTTTTTTGACCCTTTAGCCTCGTTTTCGTGCGTACTTCCACTGAGTACCGCTGGTTCGCCGCAGCGGCGTATTCAATTACGATAACAGCTATTTTTCCATCTTTATATCTACCAAAAATAGACCCAGCGGCACCTATTGTCAATTTGTTAATTTCCATGGAAGCTTACAAGGTGTTACAAAAATCAAGAAAATTTGAAAAAAAACCATTTCAATATATGTACAACCCATGGATTTAAATGCATGAAAAACCTAACATACGATGTGCAAAATGTAGCCATACAATATTTGACAATTCCAAAGACCTAATATTTCGAAATACGGCATCGAGCTATCTTAAGAGCGTTTCAGGTGTAGTTAATTATTAAGATAGGGAAACTTTTAAACCCGTTATGTTTTTTGCTCCATAGATAACGCTCACGTAGTCGTGAACGAACTTAGTCGTAACCCACTCTCAACATTTCTCGCGGGAGGAAACTGCAATGCCCGAAAAAAAGAACAACATTCGGCAGAGCGTTGACCGATTCTTTTCACATGAATGTTCCGATAATTGAACCTACGATTTCAGAGATGGAAGGCGCTTGCTCTGACAACGGAAGCACAGCTGGATTCAGATGGTAACATTATCACAAATCGCCCAATTATAAACGTTTTAAACTTCGTGTTTTTCTGAAACAGCACCCAGTTGCCTAACAACACTTGCAAGTTGCAACATGGGTCGTGGCGTTTTCGACTCTTGTATCGAGTTGTTTTCTTTTCCTTCTCTCTGATTTTCGCTTGTTTTTATCATGGTGGCGGTTCAGAGTACAACAGGCGAAAAGATAAAACAGAGCCGAACAAATTAAAAGATGAATTCAAAGGTAAACCCTTGAATGTTGACCTTTCTCAGGAACAAAACGAACGCGTCTCTAACTTGACAGAAAATGCGAAACAAATTGATGGCCGCAAGGCGCGGAAGAACACTGATCTTTCAAAGATGCTTCATTCACAACTCAACATCTCCGGTGTGACGCGAAATTCCTGACTTGCGAAATATCTGACTATTGTAGAACTGCCCATGCGCAGACGATGCGCATGAATGACTTTGGCTCATAAATTTCGCAACTGAACAGACAACACGTGTATTTATAAAGCCATTTTATTTATACATAAATTTTCCAACATTAATTCTACAATTGATCAACTGAATTGACACTATACCACTGATTGTGAACGTTATAATAAACCTTGAATCGTTGATATGGAAAAATCACTCGAAAAGCGATCTTAGTGCATGATATAAAATAGACGCCAGTTTCAAAGGTTATGCCGTATATGCATTACTATACTATATAAAGCACTAAAAATCGGTTCGCGTTTGACCTTCTCACTATTTAGTAAGCAGCAACGATGAGTTCGAAGTTCATGAGTTGGCCGTTTAGATTTGGCGATGTCTATGCTATAGAAACATTTGGTAACATCGCATATGGATTAAAAATCGTTTCGACCGACCGTATTTAGCAAACGTCGTGTATTTCGCGGTCACGATCGACCACACAATTCGCTTTGAAATTTAAAGTGTTTGTGATTGAAACTTAGCGATGTCGATTTGAAATATTTAATTAACGAAGTATTAGAAATTAACATCATGATTATTTTATCTAAACTCTAAAAAACAGTTTTGATCGACTTAGAATTTAGCAAGCGTCGTGTATTTCGCGCCTGTACGCGCGAAATTTCTGACCCGTCACGCTAGGTCAGGTATTTAGCAGAGGTCAGGAATTTCGCTTGACACCGGAACAGACGTGAAATTGATGCGATCTTGGAAAGTCAAACCGAATGCGCCAATTATACCTTTACTTTAAAGTATGAAGATAACTACAGAGCATGGAACAACTTTTCAATGATGTACCGAAGCCGAATGTACCGTTATTACGAGTACAGAGAAACGGACGATGGTCTACAAGTTTCTAATTCTTCTGACCCCCCTATCAAACAAAGATGGCGGGATTTGATTGCCCGGGAAAAGGAAGTGTTGGCTTCCAAACATTGTAATGTATCCGTGGACGGATTTCACTATCCCAATTACACATTATACATAAATTTTACTGTTTTCTTCAAACCCACTGAGCAGAGTTTCACAAGGCAAGATTACGGAGTCAGTTTTGGATATTTTGCCATTTGTTCGGCGAAGCTTAGTCTGTCCTGCAATGATTATTTAGTTGAAGTGAAATACGGCGATCAGTATAACGTTTTGCAAAACTTTTCGCTGTTTACAAACAACAAGATGTACGACTATCGTGAATATCGACTCGGTAACGAAGATCTTGAAATGTGTGCTTCAAATTATTCAAGAATGCGGACCATTTGGAGAGCTAGAAATTCGTGGGAAAAGTTTAAAGACCAGCATAAATGTCGCGGATCTGTTAAAAATATATATGCATGGTACGTTGTGAATAAGCAGTTCACTGTCTATCTCCCACCTTGGAGTCAATATTTCACAAGAAATGACTATGGCGTGAAAGATGGTAATCTTATAGTATGCCAAGAAAACTTTAAACTCATATCGAAAAAGTATACCCAGGAAGATCTATTAATGTTCAACGATTCAATCATCAATATAAAATAAGATGATGAATTCAAAGTTTGGACTGACTTTTCAATACTCTATAATAACAAAGTTACGATTATACTGAGTATCGAGTTCTGAATGATGGCATAAAAGATTTGCAACTCTACTGATAACAACGTACGGAATATTTGGAAATTACGCAATAAATGGGTAAAGGCGAAAATGCATGGAAAAAATTGCAATAAACCCATTAGAACCTTTTGGATCGACTGAAAGTATTACACTGTGAATAAGCAGGTCACTGTCTATCACGCAGCTACAAGTCAATATTTCACAAGATATGACTATGCGGTGCACGATGGTAAACCTTATATATGCCAAGAAGAGTTCAGACCCAGATCATCAGAGTATACCAGGCTCCATTAACATGTGCCCTGTCATGGCCGCAATCCGTAAGATATTTCATATATAAAGTACGATGATGAATACAAAGTTCAGATTGACTTTTCAATACTCTATAAGAACAATGTGTGCGATTATACTGAGTATCGAGTTCTGAATGATGACATAAAGATTTGCAACTCCACTGATAATTTCGTAAGGAATATTTGTGTTACGAGGCTTTATTTAGGTAGTGTAGTGAATCGTTACAACAATCTTAAATAACTATCAGTTCTTAGTGTTCAATACTGTTCATTCCTTCGTGTTAAGGTTCGTCTTCTTGTACTAGTTTCCTGAAAGTTCACTTCAGCCTTTAAATCTTCGTTGCCTTTAGTTCGTTTTTCTTTGTCCGTGCTGTTTCGTTTGAGTTTTCGTAGCTTTTCATCAGTTAAGTTTTATCAAGTCTACGTCCACTGACTTCACTCGAGAGTCCACTCGAGAGTCCACTGAGAGATCATCCACTGAGAGGTCATCCACTGACGAATTTGGGTTGTGCACGCCCTTTTATACTAACGGTTGAGGGGATCTTTGTACACGTGATCTAGCAAGTGGTATGATTTGTATCAAGCCAATCAACGTTGAGTTTTAAAAGTGTGGGTTGGCGTTGGTAGCTCGTTCCAGCCCTCAAATTCTGTTTATTTAAGGCGGTTTGGCGGATTATCTTAAGGCGGATTATCTAAGGCGAGTTGGTTCGCTGTTCAATCGATCAATGTTAAAATATGTTCACAACTTAAAATACTTATCAAAAGTAAAAACTTCAACCTATACCTATACCTATGTGAACCTTACTTTACCTACTAAACTAAATTTTATTGAACCAAGATTTTGATGACGTAATGTTATCATTACTCAACCGCGCGAAATATACCGAAGAATGATTGACATGAATGCCCTAAGCATGCACATTTTCCATGTTAAAGAAGAACCAGCATTGGACTTTGAATTATGTAAACACAACAGGCCACCACGCAAGGTTATCGTCCATCTTTGACAAATTGACGAGTTATCTATCTTGCCTAATGGACAGATAATTGACATTTTTACGCAAGTCCGAAATGAGATATAGTTTATCTGCGTTTTGCAGCAAAAATGCTCATTATCTCTCCATTTGACGTAGCCTGCGTGGCAGGCTCTCTGGGTTTGGGGGAGAAAAAAAAATTGGGGGGGGGGGCGCAAGAGGGAGAGCCTGCCGTAATGCCCCGGTATTTTTCATTCCGCCCACTACACGCCCATATTATCATTAGCCAATAAGATCATAGCGGAAGTGAGAATATTTATTTAATTTATTTGCATATGTAAATTATATGCAAATAAATTGCGGACAATGATACACCGAAAAAGCCAGCGAAGCGTATAAATACGAGTAGCTCTGTGAACGATTTATGCAGAATATGTAAATGTAATTTAAAGATTGAATTTGGATCGGGTAGAGTTTCTTTCGAGAATCTTTTCAAGGCGTCGGGAAGAAAAGAGAGTAAAGGTTTAATACTTTCACAAGCGTGTGAAATTGTCGGCTTGCCAGCACAGAAATCACCTCTTCTTTCAGAAAGAATATGCCGTCCTTGTGGACGAAAAATAAGGAATGTCCACGAAAACTTCACTTTCTTGAAAGATAAGTTGGATAATTGAGAATCTGAATGTACTAAAAATCGAAGTCCTGCACGTCAAAAGCGACAGCTTCCTACAACAGTGACGCCTGAAAGACAATGTCACCGACAAGGCCGAACTAGTTGCACTGTAAAGCAATCAGTTGCGGAGAAGGCAGTTGTGAGTGAAAAGAACAAATATTCTCCAAGGAGAGGATTATTTGTGGATGAGGGAAATAGCGATCATGATACTGATGCACAAGTTCAACGGTAACGGACGATGAAGTACACAATCTAATGAACATTGAGACAATTATTCCGAACAAGAAAGAAAGCCGAGTTCGTGTTTTGATCAGCTATCCAAATTCAAGAGTTGTTGTGAAGGAATCGTTTGATAAACTGACCTCTTCCCTTATAAAAAATATTGCTCTTAAAAACTGGAGTACTGTTGCGAATATTGTGTTTAAGCATACCGATATCCGGGAGCACCTACCTAAAGTTTTGAACAGGGAAGTCGGCGCAGAATTTCGTTCGTTCAGTTCTGACAGCATTTTAAGCGGGTCTTCACCAGATGAATTAGCTGCATTCAGCAATAAAATCCTTGTTCACGAAGTTAATGTTAAATGCCCACTTTGGTCAGCAACTATGAGTGGAGCCTGTGGCGCATCACCTCAAAACTGTACATGTACATCTTCTCAAAACCGTGTGGACCGTGCCTTGAATGCTATGGCCCTTGCTACGTCCGCTTTAGCAAGATCTAGGAATGCAAAGTTATCTGCTTATGCATACAGAATCTCGCTAATATTATTTAAAAGTGGTGCAAGTTACTATGACAGAGTCCGGCTTAACCGTCTTGGTATCTGCATGTCCCCTGAAAGTGTGGTAAATCTCAAAAAAAAGATGGGCATGTCAACAGACACCAAAGTATTATCATGGAAAAAGAATGTGGAGGAAAACCTTAAAGCTCAGAATTTTATTAAGGAAGTGGAAACTATTCAAACCCATCGAGAGGAAGATGACATGATTTTGGATGAAGTTACATTTGACTTGATTGAGAAAGCTGTGCAAGAGTACCCAACATTTAGCAAACCAACACATGAGTATTGTGTCCAACTGGCAAAAAAATCAATGCACCAACTTAACCATGGTTGCATTAACAAAGCTGTTTTGGAAGATGTGATGCATTTGCTGCAAAGTCAGAAACTTCCACTCTACAAGTCAGCATATTTTAAATGTAAACAGTGCTGCCACTCTAAACATCATATTTTCACCTAAAGCGAATGCTAAAAATCCATACGTTTCCCCAATGCCTCAAACATATATTTCCCCCACCCCCATACAAATATAACATTTTCCGTAAATTTTCCCTTTTTATGCCAACATTTTACATGGTTGATCATTCCAGGAAAACCTGGATAGTGCATCCTAATTTGCATTCTGATGATCCACATACTTTCGAAATCAGAATATCACAGTATAAATTATGATAAAAAATTTTGAAATATGTCCATTTGTTACAAATCAAGTGCTTATGTGTTTAAATTCGCTTTTGAGTTAAGCAAGGTGCATTTTCTGTATGAAACCTGGTAAATGTAACTGAAAATATGCTGAAAATAACCATAACAAAAAAAATAACAAATAAAAAAACAAAAATAAAATAACCTTTTTTCCCCATAAGTATCTCCTTATTGCAATTTGTAGGGAGTAGGAGAATCTCCTACTCCCTACAAATTGCAAAAATCTCCTATTAGTATAATTACATAGGTGATTATTGTAAATTCTCCACGCTGATTGGTTGTCGTTGAGGTGATTATTACGTGATAATCACCTAAGCGATTTTCAAAATGGGGGCCGAAGCCTTTTTGTCAATTAAATGACGAAGAAATGTGTATTTTCTTATTTTTCCCCAAATAATCACCTATGAAATTATACTAAAACAATTATTCACCTCAGGCTCGGTGATTATCGTGAATAAAAACCTCGACTTCGTCTCGGTTTTTATTCACCGATAATTGCGTTGCCTTTGGCGAATAATTGTTAAATGTAGGGGGATCTCCCTTACGAATATGTGGCAGCTATGTTCATAAATTATGTAATTGCTTTAGTACAGACCCTGGATTAATAGCAGCATAGTGATTGCTGATCGTGTATAGTTATATATTAAGTATATAGAATATAAGATCAGTCACCATTATAGTACTGTATTGTAGCTACAGTTCTATCAGCAGATTATCTAAGACAAACGATTCTGTATACTTTTCCCTCATAGATTAGTTGGTGATAATATTGACTATCACATTCAAGCTAGATACCAGTCCACTGACCGCACAAACCAGTCCATTCATTGGACCCAACAGTATGCTGTGTTGAACAGAATTGATATATCTTCATTTGACAACTCCAAACCACTAATGATGCTGAGAGACATACAACTATCAAATGTCCTTCCAAGCAATGCTGTACTGAAAAGTTTCAAATGGAACTGTTCAATCTTGGTTAGCAGAGTCATCAGCAAATATCTTGATAGTTTCAAGCACTTGCAAGACTGTGTAGTGCGACATATCTCCCATAAATATTCAAAAGAAATGTCACAGAAATCAGACATTGTAAGTCATCTCACTACATAAAAATAAAATAATGGAGGGTTTTCTACATATATATAGCAATAGGAACAGTGGTTATACTCGATATTTCCCAGGAGCATATGATACTGACATGTCCGACCTGAAGTCTTTGTTAGTGGATCCCATTTCATGTTTCATCCAGTAAAATGTTTTGTCTTTATATGCTAATGAAATAACCACTGGGGCATCTACCCATGAGTAGGCCCTTTGCTTGCCACAGTAGTGAAGCAATATTTTCAGATGAGCTGTGCCCTTTTGATCATTAGTAAAACATCATCCTTGTTGAAAATTAATGCTGCAACTGCCTGCTTTAATTCTCATATCTAATTTTCACATTCTCGATGTTCCATTTTATAAAATTCAGGACAGCATGGTCTTTATTAGCCTGCTGAGCCTGCCATGCAGGCTACTGGTCTTTATGTATACATAACTGTGAGGGGAAAAGGCCATCATTGAGACTTATCCCCAGTAGTTGTAATTTCTTAAAAAATGCCCAGTAATTATGTAATATTAAACCAAAATAAAAACTGTTAAAAATGTTCTGATATTATGCAAAGTTGTAGAAGCTTGTTTTCCTGACACATTTTCTGTTACATGACTTCATCGTATTGTTATATAGTCAAAGTGGCATTTATGTGTCAGTGATAAAGTCTACATTAAATTTTTAAAAAATCCCAATATGAAGAAAGAGTTATGCAGTTATGGATGATCCTTGCCCAAAACTTTTATTTGAAAATAAATGTATTTTTAATTATTTTTATAGTGTTGTCTTGGACTTCAGTTTAGTAATCCCAATATCGCAGGAGAAATGGCCCAGCTTATCATGACCAACCAACAAAAGTATGCACCATCTAATATGGTAAATGATGTACCAGATATTCTCATGGAGGTACCAATGCATGGTGATCAGTTATTTGAAGAGCGCTGTAGAAATGTTCAATGGACATTTCAGGATGGAATAAGTAAATATGATCGACTAGAAGGCATTACAACTGAAGCAGCTGACTGGCATGCAAAAGTAAATTTGTACAATGTATGTCTTTTAGAAGATAAGTTTCAACTCTTTCACACCCAACTTCCAGGAGCTGGGCCTACATTTACCAGTAAACTAGACTGATCTCAAACAGTGCTTGTGTTTGAAGACACACAATCATAGGACATATGGGAAGGAAAACATTAATGGGGCAGAAAAAAATTTGCCCAACTTTTTCCCATTGTACCCGACTTGTCAAAACAATTTTCCATGCAAACTTTCCAAAATTGTTGTTGACAGGTGGGGCGGGGGGAGGGGGTGTATTATAATTTATTATGATTTTTATATTGAGGGGAGAGGGGGAAACACAATTTTTGACTATTATATTTAGCATATTTCCCCCAATATTGAAGGAATTTCTCCTATTTGTTTTTATAATAATTAGCCAATATTGCCTGAATGTGAAGCAAATATTGCCCGACTGGCCTGGTCTGCCTAACAAATTGGGGGCAGCTCCTGCCCCCCCCCCCTGCTGTCCTGTACGCCTATGCACAATGTACTTTTTACTACAACTACATTACATTTCTTATGTGTTAGCAAAATACAAGCATCTATGATTATTAGTTTTGCAAACATATAGAATACATTACCACTATTTGTAGGTATACTGCCTGCCAGGTAACACCCATGAATGTAATTTTCATGTTTTTTAACAGATTGAATTTGACATATTTGTCAGTGAATCATCTGCAGCACAGATAGGAACAAGTAGAGCAACAATGAATCGAACTGGAAAGACAAGGGCTGCTCAAGGTGTAGAGAAACATTATAACGAGTACAAGGACTTTCACCAGGCTGAAATCGAGGCACATATATGTGCATCGTTCATGGAGATGATAAGTTTAAAACAAATAGAGAGTATGTTATATTTTTTAATGTTTGATGGACTGCTGTAACCTATGAAAATGATAAAAAGGGAAATAATATGATTGTACACTGTAATACAGTATTTTATGTAATCTGACAGATAAACCAAACATGACAATGCCAACATCAGATGTTGGAAAGGAAAATAGAGGAAGATGGTTTTTGGAATTGTGCCAAAAATACATTGACCAATATATTGGAGGAGAAGAAATTAGTGGCTTGGTTGAAAAAGTGGGTGAACTAAATGCAAAATCTCATGGTCCTTTTCTCTGTCGTTTTGAAGGATGTCAATATAAAAGTGCCTACCACTCTACAAGAGTCAAGTAAGAATCTGCCCCAACACTCTGAAATTAAAAAATCACTAGCCATCATCCTTTGGTTGGTTTTTAACAAACTTAGTATTTCAGGCACGGATTTTCTGGGGGGGTGTGTGCACACACACCCAGAAATGATTTGTACCCCCCCCCCCAAAGGCATTTGGCACCCCCGCAAATTACATCTATTTTGATGATAGTTTCATATTTGATTATTCTTACTACTAAATTAGTAAAATTACCAATATTATGGTCTCAGATCTCGCCATGCAGGCCTAGAAAACAAATTTTGTTAAACTTTTTCCTTGGCCTTTCCGGGCGTTGCCACCACGCCCCGGCAAGAGCAAGCAGCAGCACCCCCCCCCCAGATATTTATCCACCCCCCGAACGAAAATATGAAAATCCGTCTCTGTAGTATTTACCTTCACATGAATTGGATATGTGCTCATCAGTGCGGACAACAAACGAGGGGTGATTAGTCTATGATCCATACGCCAGTCTACTGTATAAGTCACACAATTATATAATTATGTTGACTCTGTTGTTATTTTGTACTTAGCCAGTTATTATTGTACAGTACTGGTATACCACATGCAAGTAAAAAATAAGATAATACCAATAATTTTTTTTGCAGACATGAAGTTGAACATCACAATTTGAAAGTAGAGCTAAGTTGCATATGGCGTTCCATCACCGCCAAAAATCAATATTGCAATTCGACTTTTAACATGGGGAATCAACATTTAATTTTGCCCATAATTTTTCATACGGCTTTTGACAATTGTTTACCACACAAACATTTAACGAATTTCCTGCATGCAACAATGAACTTGGTGAAAAAAATCTAATATCAAAAGTTGCGATTTGCCAAACTGAAAGTTGCGATTTGCACAGTTGAAAGTTGCGATCTGTCAAGTTCGAAGTTGCAATTTGTCAAGTTGAAAATTGCCATTTGTCAAGTTGAAAATTGCCATTTGCCGCCGCTTGTACAAAAGCCGCCAAAATTACGTAATACAAACTTGTCATAATTACGTCATATATAAATCAAACATGGCGGACCTGCAAGACCAAGAGTTAACACATGTCGAAATTGCTCGGGTCATTAGAGATATCGCCGAAGGAGTGAATAATGAAAATATTGATCTGATGAAGCTACGATTAGACTACGTGAATAGGATGAGTGTAACTTTGGGTTTACCGGAGGAAGTAATAAATGCATTGTCGTTAGTGTATCAACAGTTAGACAGAATGGCGGAACGAATGGTCGAAAGCCGAGATGTTGATGTGCAGTATCGCCCTTCCGTTATTTGTTCCGGTCGTGGAAGACCTAGAATTTCTATATCGCAGGAGCAATTATCGTTTTTAGTTGACCAGGGTTTTACTGTCAAAGAAATGAGTAGCATTTTGGGTGTTGGGCAGCGTACAGTAGAAAGAAGGCTCGCTGCATTCGACCTAAGCATTAAAGGTGAGCAAATGCGGGCAACATATGACAGGCACAGTGATTTTCCTGTGCAACATTGTTGCGTTGCACGTTTAGGTATAAAAGCTGGAGTAATTCGAGCAACAAAATTGCAGCAACTTGCAACAAAACCTGATTTCAACGCATGTTAAGTAGAGATTTTGTTGCTCGTATTACTCCATCTTAAATGTACGTATTATCGCCTACAAATTTCGACCAATAAACATTAAGGTCGATATAAATTAACAAATACGTCATATATGCAACATTAACTTCCACTTGCAAATGTCTGAGAACACAGGTGAAATGGAGTAGTTTAAGCCAAGATTGACCAACCGAGGAAACAGTCCGAATCTTACAAGCTTGATTGCATTATGAATTAAATATAATTTGTGTACCTGATTTAGCTACATACAGCAACATTAATGATGAAGATCTAGATGAACTTGTTAATGCGGTACAGAATGAAAACAGCTCCACTGGAATACGAATGTTGAAGGGCTACCTTTTTAGCAAAGGTTACAGAATTCAAAGAGAGCGAATTAGACAATCATTATTAAGAACCGATCCAACTGGTGCGGTGCAACGATGGAAAAATGCAGTAAAGAAAAGAAAGTATAGCGTCTTCTCGCCACTGGCTCTTTGGCACATAGACGGGCATCACAAGTTGATTCGGTACAACTGTCAAGTTTTGCATTATACTCAAAATAAATAATGTTGAATGACAGGGAAGTTTTTTCTATTTTCCATTTTTTTTCCAGGTGGAGGATAGTTGTGCACGGTGGTGTAGATGGCTACTCTAGGATACCGGTTTACATTCACGCGTCAAACAATAACAGAGCTGATACAGTTCCCCAATTGTTTTTGGGAGCTGTTGATGAATATGGCCTACCGTCACGAGTCCGTTCCGACAAAGGAGGGGAAAATGTTGACGTTTCTTGGTACATGTTGACACATGAGCAGAGGGGGCCACATCGCGGAAGCATGATAACTGGTATTGAATTGCAAATGTGCATTTCAATTAGCCTTTCTCACGCCAGCTACAATTTTTGGGTGGCAACCTTGTTAGTAATAGTAAACATTGAAAATGACCTTTCTATAAATATAGTTATGCGGTATAATCATAAATCTATTTACAGTTACAAATTTCAAAAATTAGTTTCACATCGCTTAGCTATACTACTTCATGTTTTTATAAAATAGTACCCAAAAATGGCGAATTTAAACCTTCGTGGGAAAGGCTAATTTCTGTACTCTGCATTATTACCTTTTTTTTCATAAAATCAACAAAGGAAATCCTTATTTTTTAATGTACAAACACTTTTAATGACATTTACAGGTAAGAGTACTCATAACCAGAGGATAGAAAGGCTATGGAGAGATGTGTTTCAAGGGTGCCTTTACCTGTTTTATGACATCTTTTATGCATTAGAGAGGTTTGGTATTCTTGATCATGAAAATGAAGTGCATTTATGGTGTCTACATTTTGTATTTCTTCCGGTTGTAAACAACCATCTTCAATCGTGGAGACAAGCCTGGATACACCATCCTTTAAGAACTGAACGAAACATGAGTCCAATACAACTCTGGGTTAAAGGACTTCACATGGTTTGCAGAAGTGATTCAACTGCACCAAGGGAAGTGTTTCAGGTAATCACGTCTTTGCGTACAGTATAGTTCTTTATCTGATTATTTTGATGGAGTTGGAAATTATTAGGTAAAACGTAACTGAATTGAAAATTTTAATAAAACCTATGGCTACATATGTAAACCGTATGTCATCAAATTTTATTTTTTGATAATAAAGTCAGTGTAATCTCTCTTTCAGGGCGACTTTTTAAATTATGGGGTGGACTACGAAGGGCCTGTTCCATTGCAGGAATCAGAAAGAGTAGAGGTTCCAGAAACCATGTGCCCTCTTGAGACAGAAGAAATGGAAAACATCTATCAGTTCTCTGCCCAAGATGGAATGAGTATGGATGAAATTGTAGAAAAATACATCGATGCAGTCGACTTTGTGACTCGCTTGCTGCAGGGGTAGTGAATTTATACGGAGTATTATAAAGTTCGTAGGACGAAACTTTCAAACAATCACTTTAATTTTAACCTATAACAAAAATTTTAACCTTTAACATTAAAATCACATAACCTAAAAGTGATACAATATTATGCAAGAGTGCCTTATATGAACAGAACATGAAATACACCATGAACAAAATGACACGATAGTTTTTAACTAACTGTAAGTTAAACACCGCACATCAATTGCGACAACTCGAAACAATGTCAAGCGCTCTATCAATAAACGTTTAAATAAAGGTGAATCCCTTTGATCCATATTTGATTGCTATGTCCATCATCTTGGCGAAATCTTCGAACTTATCAAATTTAGATGGAATGGTCATGGAGTTAAAACACGTTTCCACAATAGGAAGGTCAATGCTCGCGTCAAACTTTACCAGCATGCTTTCGTCGTTAGTGCTTGACGGCAGCTTATTTATCCCAGTCCAGAATGAACACAACTCCATCAAGCCAGCTCCTTCTGTGAATGTAAGTATTTCTTTTAGTTACGGCCGTTAGAACGTCAGATTTTGTTGGGGGGGGGAGGGGGGGGGGAGAGGTGCCGAGGAGGGTATGTGAGAGACAAGGGTGCGTATAGCCGCAGAGCAAGCTGCAGCAGGGTTCTAGGGGCACATTTACTAATGGAAGTAATGGGACAAAGCCCCCAGATTTTTGGTCTGATTTGGTTCAAAATCCTTGTTTTTAGTCTTACTTAGGCCTATTTTATACGTCGAATTCTGGTTGCGTCGAATGCAATTAAGACAATATATAATGAGATGATAAAGCTAATTTATGATTCATTATCTATTGTTTGAATTGCATTCGACGCTACCAAAATTCGACGTATAAAACAGGCCTTAGTTCAAAATCTACTTTCATTTATCCCAATTTTTGTTGGGGGGGGGGGGTGTGAAAATTTCTCTAGGGGCGGTGGGAAACCAGAGGTTGGAAACTTGGGG